AAAAAATTGTGTTTATTGCGATAGGATGGTAGTCTGTGTATTTTGAGGCTTTGGATTTACCACCGACCGATTCGACTGCCATCGAACATTATTTTGCGCAGTATTATATTTTCAGATCGTATGGTCGTACTGAATTCGACGCGTTCCGGTCATACGGGTATCGTGAAGGGTTTGAGTTGGGATCCCATCGGAAAGTTTCTGGCCTCGCAGTCGGCCGATAGAACCGTTAAGATATGGGCTATAGATGGTTGGCAGTGCGTGAAAACAATTGTGGAGCCGTTTGTTGAGGTGCGTTCAGTTTTGACTCGTTTTCTCTGCGTTCAAATTCTCAGTTTCGCTTGAGGCATATTGATTCGCCCTTCAGAGTTCACCCACGACAATGTTCTGTCGAATGGACTGGTCTCCAGATGGCACTTATTTGGTATTGCCGTGTGCAACAAACAATGAAGGACCAACAGCTCAACTCGTTCGACGCAAGGTATATATAAAGGGCAATAGATTCATTCCTTGTGTAATTTTTTTCCAGTTAATTCAGTTACTGAGTAGAATTCAGGAGCGATTTTTAGTCAGAAATTTGGTTTTTGTGGGTCAAACGAAATAATAAGAGAAGTTGTCTTTGAATACTTAAAGAAAAAATTGAATTCTATTTGAGTACGTAGTGAATTTTTAAGGATTGGAGTATGTCATTGGATCTTGTGGGTCATCGGAAAGCGGTTACTGTGATACGAGCATGNTTTTTAAGGATTGGAGTATGTCATTGGATCTTGTGGGTCATCGGAAAGCGGTTACTGTGATACGAGCATGTCCACGACTATTGCATTATACCACACACAAGGTGAGTTACTTAATGACAGTAATAATTATTATTAACAGCAAGAATAATGCGGGGTCAGGAATTTAGCATAACACACGTTTTTGTACTTTAAATAATTTATATAATATTTTGATTTTCCATTTCTCTTCATTAAATATCATTTTTTGATCAGTCTTCATTAATTGTTGTTTCATCTTGTGATGTAACTTTGTTGTTCTATAGCATTAAATGATAACTATATTCGTTCAATTCATCGTAAATGTATAATATTGGTATGATTTTAATAATTGTAAAATGCGGAATAGTCATGTTACCGTTTCTGTTTGCTTCATTTTTGAAACTATTAAGTGAATAATGAATAATGTGATAGTTACAACAAGAGGATTTGTAAGATAAATAGACGTGATAGTTCATTTGAAGTCGACAAACAAAATGACTGATCGGAAGTGTTGTTCAGTATCATTTTGCATCGTTTCATTGCCTGCATCTGATTATCTAAATTCACTCATCATCTATCTTATGCATTATCTGCTCGTGCAACGAATTAATCAATTCATTCGACTATTATTTTGACGATGTTTCAGACCGATTCATTGCAGGGTACCCAATTGAAAGTGACATGTTTTGCGGTCGGTAGTCGTGATAAAGCGCTGAGCGTGTGGCTGATACCGCACATCGATCGGCCGATTGTCGTCCTCAATCGACTCTTCAAACATTCAATTCTTGATTTCTCGTGGTTATTCGTTTGTGTTTCTTTTGGTCATGTTAGATTAGGTGTTCATCTTCATCGGAACATTAATATCTTGAATCATGTCAGCATGTAATCTGCGGATTTAATCACAATTATGAATAGCCATTCGTATTGCATTCAATCATGTTGATAAGGTTGATTTAGGAATGGTCTTCATTTAACGATTTGCTCGATGGACGGATCAGTGAAGTCGATTCTCTTCAATGCAAATGAAGTGGGTCGTTTGATGAGCGATTTGGAAATGGTCATTTCATTTGCATTATTGTTATTATTCATTGACCTTTGTTTCATTATATCTTTTGGAAAAAATTACTCTTGCAAAAGCTTAGCTAGAAAATGCACCGTGTTCATTCACTCGTGCAACTATGAATGTATCAGTCATGACGATGGATGTTGGTTTATTGAATGTTCTATGAGTGTGAGCGTTCTGTTAATGAATATTAAATGTGAAGATTTTGTTAATATTAATATGAGTGAACATTTCATAATGAACACTAAAAAGCTTACAGGATGAAATTTGCGAAAAACTGTACAGTCGTCGACTTCCGCAATATTCAACGGCAACAAATTTAGCGATGACAACAAAGATGAATGGTGACGATGTGGGGACGTTTTTGAAGAGAGGAACGAGGGACGGGAATTTGCCGTTGGGATATGAACTGGAGATGATGAAGGCGAAAATGGACGCCGAGAAGAGACGGAATGAAGAAGAATCGAAGCGTCGCGAATCGTTGATGAGGAACAGATTTGAGGCGCACGAAAATGCGGTCACAAACGGCATCTCTGCACCATCAACAACTGATTCTCGTAATTTTTTCTATGTTCCAATGAATTTTACTTCCGTTTTTTTTTTAAATNTTTTTTTTTTAAATCTGGAATCGTTTCTCTGAAATTTTCATATGAAGTTCATCATTTACGCTTTGTGTCATTGTTGTTGTTAGTGTTATTATTATTCTGCCTTTTGAATTTTGGTAATTCGAAGGAAATTTGCTGAAACTGAGGAAGTTTCCCACCTACTTCCAATTATAACGAAATTTCAGTTCGTTCAGTATTCTTAATAGCGATTGATTCTCTGAAATGTATCAAAAAATGTTGGTGATTAAAAAGTTGACTTTTGAAATTACACAGTCTTTAATCTTTTTAACATTTTCGACCAATAATCACTATTGAATTCTAGCAAAAACAAATCAATTGAACGAGGAAGTGATCTCATCGAAAGATCAAGCGCCAGTACGAGCGATTGTAAGGCCTCAATCAGCGGCAGAATCGCCTGAGATAGTGTCCTCGCAAAGTGCATCTGAATTGAATCGACCACAACAACCCGTTCACAATACCGAACAAAAGGAAGTGAGAACCAAGAGTGGCAAACGTCGAATTCAACCCGTCTTCGTGGCCTCATTAATGGCCCCCGAAGAAGATTCCTCTACAGTGAGCAACATTCAGCAGCAGCTGAATCGTTCAGCGCGACCGTATGCACTTTCTACCTCTCACCCATTGTCTTTTCAATCATCGCAATTGTGACTTCAGAAAATGATGCACTCCAGAAACATCTTCTTCGCCAAATGTCCAAATTTTCAGTGACCTCGCAAGACTGAATCCGAAATTAGACTCATCAAAATCGCATTATTTTTTCCATTACCATCAGATTATCCGAACGATTTCATCTCTGAACCATTGAATACTTTTGAAACGGGTGACCGACAGTCAGCTCTGTGACAAGTCCAACCCTGACAAATAGCGTTATTCAGTGATGGGGTTTTAGACGTTATCATAGACTTATACGGTGCCTGTTGTCAGGGTTGGACTACTAATCACGGAGATCTTTGAAATGGAGCATTTAGATAGTGCATTACTGCAGTTTTAGCAATGAAATGAGTTTACATTTCATTACTGAATTGTGTTCGTCAATGCGCACAGTTGTCTACATTATTTTGAGCATGTGAGACAATAAACACTCACTCCTCTCCGTTACAGCGAATTGTGTGTAAAAATGTGAACGGTAATCGGGGATCGACGATTGCTGTGAACTCGTGCACTTGATTAGTTAAGAGATAGTGCGATGGGTTTGTGTTGTGACAGCCGGCGAGTGGTGTGCTTGCACTGGCTCTTGCGAGGATTAATTAGTGATGGGAGGAAGAGGGCAACAATATCTGATTTTGTGATGGATGTATCGTTGCAGTTATTGCGCGGGAACTGAGA